GGCCAAAGAACTAAACAGACATTTCTCCAAAGAAGACATACAGATGGCTAACAAACACATGAAAAGATGCTCAACATCACTCATTATCAGAGAAATGCAAATCAAAACCACAATGAGGTACCATTACACACCAGTCAGGATGGCTGCTATCCAAAAGTCTACAAGCAATAAATGCTGGAGAGGATGTGGAGAAAAGGGAACCCTCTTACACTGTTGGTGGGAATGCAAACTAGTACAGCCACTATGGAGAACAGTGTGGAGATTCCTTAAAAAACTGGAAATAGAACTGCCATATGACCCAGCAATCCCACTTCTAGGCATACACACTGAGGAAACCAGATCTGAAAGAGACACGTGCACCCCAATGTTCATCTCAGCACTATTTATAATAGCCAGGACATGGAAGCAACCTAGATGCCCATCAGCAGATGAATGGATAAGGAAGCTGTGGTACATATACACCATGGAATATTACTCAGCCATTAAAAAGAATTCATTTGAATCAGTTCTAATGAGATGGATGAAACTGGAGCCCATTAAACAGAGTGAAGTAAGCCAGAAAGATAAAGACCAATACAGTATACTAACGCATATATATGGAATTTTAAAAGATGGTAATGATAACCCCATATGCAAAACAGAAAAAGAGACACAGATGTATAGAACAGACTTTTGGACTCTGTGGGAGAAGGTGAGGGTGGGATGTTCTGAGAGAACAGCATTGAAACAAGTATACTATCAAGGGTGAAACAGATCACCAGCCCAGGCTGGATGCATGAGACAAGTGCTCAGGGCTGGTGCACTGGGAAGACCCAGAGGGATCGGATAGGGAGGGAGGCGGGAGAGGGGATTGGGATGGGAAACACATGTAAATCCATGGCTGATTCATGTCAATGTATGGCAAAAACCACTACAATATTGTAAAGTAATTAGCCTCCAACTAATAAAAATGAATGGAAAAAAAAAAAAGAATCCGCCTTGCAATGCCATAGATACAGGTTCATTCCCTAACCTCGACTGCCAAGCCCATGTGCTATAGAGCAAATACTGAGCCTGCAAGCCACAACGAAAGACCCCACATGATCTGTGCCACAACTGAGACTTGACACAGCCAAATAAATATATTTTTTAAAAAAGAAAAATAAAATAAAATAAGGCTGAGCATTTCTCAAATTGCAGAAGACATCTCAAATTGCAGATGCCCAGCCCCTCTCAGACACCTCTACCAGCCGTGACCCCACCACCCTGCACAACCACTTCCTCTCTGCACAGAAAGGAGGTCGCAGGAGAGAGGTGACTCCGCCTTCCTGGGTCCTGCCCTTATGGGGGAAGCTCCCAACCACAGAAGCCTCTCTCAACACTCTACCCAGGAGGTATTTGGTGTTCCAGGGCCCCAGTTAGTAGGAGTCCCTTCTACTCCATCACAAACAAACTGCCTTTCCAACTGCAGGTCCTGGCCCCTGGATTTCACTTCCTCAGGGCTCATCACTTTATTCAGAGTTATTTTATATTTGCTTTTCACCACCTGTCTACCAAGATAACCTCGAATTGCCCCTGACCTTTCCTCTGCCAGGTCCACCTGCAAACTCCTGCTCTGCTCTGATCTCGTGATGGCCTCCTCGGTTCCTCCAGTCTCTGACCTTTTACTGAACACAACACGCCTTTTACACATCTTAGTTTTGCAATAGTCCTGGTAAAGTAAGTTTTTGTTTGATATAAATCTCCCCGTTTTATGTGATGCACAGACGATGAATTGAAAGGAAGCTCTGTGAGGCACGGAGCATGCTTGAGGTCCATGGCTGTATTCCCAGTATCTGGCATACAGCAAGGGTTCAATAAATATCAGTGCAAGGATGCTAAGACGCCTTCCAGAATTCTAGTCAGAATATATGTTTCTTTCCAGATTTGTTGTTTTTTAGTCAGACAGTCAAGTCCAACTCTTGACACCCATGAGCTGTAGCCTGCCAGGCTCCTCTGTCCATGGGGTCTACTAGGCAAGAATACTGGAGTGAGTTTCCATTTCGTTCACCAGGGCTCTTTCCAGCGAAGAGCTCCTTTTATAAGCAGCTTAGGCAACAAAACTGATGAGAAAGATTTCCAAGGGATGTTTTTCACTTGATGATGTTATTATTGAGCAGAGACACTGCCGGGTTCTGCTCTGCTGCTGCTAAGTCGCATCAGTCGTGTCCGACTCTCTGCGACCCCATAGACGGCAGCCCACCAGGCTCCCCTGTCCCTGGGATTCTCCAGGCAGGAACACTGGAGTGGGTTGCCATTTCCTTCTCCAATGCATGAAAGTGAAAAGTGAAAGTGAAGTCGCTCAGTCGTGCCTGACTCTTCACGACCCCATGGACTGCAGCCTACCAGGCTCCTCCGTCCATGGGCTCTTCCAGGCAAGAGTACTGCAGTGGGTCGCCAGTGCCTTCTCCAGGTTTCTGCTCTAGACTCACTTATTTCTGTAAAACCCTCACCATCGCAGGTTCAGGCACAGCATTTTCTGGTCATGGACCCCACAATCATCTCCAGCCCCAGAGAAGAGCCATAGTGATGGGGGTAGGAGGGGAGTTCACCTGGGGAGAGGACCTCTCATGAACTGCTGGGGTCACTGGGCTCAGAGCAGGTATGTGCACCCCCTGCCCCCAAACTGCTGCTGCGGGGACAGGAAGGAGAATGGGACAGAGGGACTCTGTGGAAGGAATCTTTTCCTGAGTAGCTCTTGGTTTGGAAGTTCTCTCCTTCACAACAAATCATAAAAAGGCCCAGAACCCTTTGCCTTCTGCCATAGTATGGCTAGTCTATTTGTCTGCCAGAGAAATAATATGTTAGCAGGCTCCTCGCTGCTCCCCTAGATAACAATGTTTTCTCTTTAACTGTCGTGTAATAATCACTAATAATCAACATATTCTTGATTTGGTCTTTAGATTTATTAATAAATCAGCAATTGCAAAATAAGACTATATTAATGCATTTCATTAATATTAATACATATGAATATGTATTAATGGATGTATATGTATAATGAATGCATATCCATGTTTTCATTAATATTAATGCATATAATATTAAAGCATTTAAAATCTTACTCAGATTCAATAAAATATCTCAAGTATGAACCAAAAATTGTATTTGTCAAACAGAAATCTTATACTTCACAGTAAATACTGTTTCACTGTTTAAAATTGTAAACATAAATAATCTGAAATTGCTCATAGAGTATGACTGAAGTGACTCAAATTCTGTTTCTTCATCTTGACAAACATGAGGCTTTTTTAAATCTGATGCTTAAGTTAGAACTGGAGGGGCTGGGGCAGAAACTGTGCTTGAAGGGAGCATGAATGATCCCAAACTTCAAGGAACTTAACTCTTGAAACTCTACTTGTAAGTGAGCCTGAGTGTGACTGGGGAAGTTGTGTGATTGGCAATTCTCCAAATCAACTTCTGTGGAGAAACAGTGCTTACTAAGAGATAAATTATATGTGTGCACACATACACACATGTGCATATATGCACACACACAAACACATATATGTGTGTGTTTATAAAAAATGTATATGAACATGGAAATTGTTTATAACTTAGACCAATGAAATATTTTTTTGTAAGGAGTTTTTTTGTTTTTGTTTTTTTTAAATAAAGGAAAACATTTATTTACTCTACATGCCATGGCAGAATTTTAATCTTAGTCTAATACCTTTCATCTAGACATGTCAGATTAGGAGGAATCTATGTGAGACATCCAAATGCCCTCCCCATCCCAGGATGGTGCTCACTTTCACCCCAGCAAGGAAGATCCAACAACTGCTATGCAGTGTTTCTGCCCAGAGATGCCTGTTAGAGACTCAGCATCTCAGATCTTTCAGGCAGCTGGAATCGTAGACTGAATTGTGTCCTCTCGAAATTCAAATGCTGGGGCCTCCCTGGTGGTCCAGTTGTTAGGAATCCGCCTGTCAATGCAGGAAACACGGGTTTGATCCCTGATCTGGGAAGATACCACATGCTACGGAGAAACTAAGCCCATGCACCACAAGGATTGAGCCTGGGCTCTAGAGCCCATGATCGGCAACTTCTGAACTCACACACAACTACTGAAGTCCACGTGCCCTGAAGCCCATGCTCCACAACAAGAGAAGTCACCACAATGAGAAACCCACACACCGCAACTAGAAAGTAGCCCTTGCTCACTACAGCTAGAGAAAGTACACAAGTTGCAATGAAGACCCAGCACAGCCAAAAATAAATTAATTAATTAAATTAAAAAATTAATTTGATGAAGTCCTGACCCTCAGTACCTCAGAACGTGACTCTATTTGGAGAGGAGGTCTTTAAAGCAATAATCCATGTTAAATGAGGTCACTGGGATAGGCCCTTCGCCAGTATGGCTAGTGTCCTTACAAGAGGAAAAAATGAGGACATGGAAACAAAGAAGCAAGACAATGTGAGGACAGGGGAGAAGACGGCCACCAACCCTCCAAGGGGAGAGGCCTCAGAAGAAACCAACCCACCAACACTTTGATCTTGAATTTCCTGCTTCCAGTACAGTGAGAAAATAAATTTCTGTTAAGTCGCCCCTTCTACAGAACTTTACTAAGGGAGCCCTAGCAAACTGAGAGAGCTCAGCACACAGGCCCTTGCTATCTAGCACATACTGAATTCCAGACTCGGAGAAATCCCACCGTGCTCAGCCTAAGCTGCGTTGTTTGTGCAAGTACTCCAGGCAAAATGAATCACAGTCACCAGTTATCAAATGGTGAGAACACTCCAGAAATTCAAGTTCCCAGGCCAACTGGGATCAAGCCGAATACCAGCCTTGTAAGCAGCTCCTTCTACAGATGAGACGTTAACTTTTTTTCTGCACACACACATATACACTCACAAGGGAAAGGGTTGGCTTTCACTTAACACCTCCTGACTCTCTAGAATCTTGAGTGGCTGAGGGACCGTGAGCTTGGGCGGGACTGTGACTTCATAGCCCATCCACCTGTAGCCTGGGTCTGGGAGAGGACCCTCTTGCCTTGAACCTGCCATGAGAATCAGGCTCTTCTGTGCCTTTTGCTTCCTGGGAGTAGGTGAGTCCAGAAAATTGGTGGCAAACCCCTGTCCCATTGCTTCTAGACCCTGGATACAAAATTTTTCTCTCATCAAGCTTCCTGTGTGTGCCTGCGTGCTTAGTCATGTCTGACTCTTTGTGACCCCAAGGACTGTAGCCTGCCAGATTCCTCTGTTCATGGAATTTTCCAGGCAAGAATACTGGAGTGGGTTGCCATTTCCTTCTCCTGGGGATCTTCCCCGATCCAGGGATCGAACCCTGGTCTCCTGCACTGCAGGCAGACTCTTTACCACTGAGCCACCAGGGAAGCTTCCTGCTGGCCTATTTTTTCACCTCCTCCATCCTCCTTCACAGGCCTCATGGATGCACAAGTAACCCAAACTCCAAGATATCTGGTCAAAAGGAGAGGAGAGAAGGTTGTGATAGAATGTATACAGAGCATAGACTATAAGAGAATGTTCTGGTACCGACAAGACCCAGCTCTGGGGCTGCGGCTGCTCCATTTCTCAATCAATGTTGGCATGGTTGAGAAAGGCGATGTGCCCCATGGGTACAGTGTCTCCAGAAAGAAGAAGGAGAGCTTCCCTCTGACCCTGGAGTCTGCCACCACCAACCAGACGTCTGTGTACCTCTGCGCCAGCAGTGAATCCACAGCGCAGCGCGGCCACATCCTCTCTGCACAAAAAGCGGGGACCCTGCAGGAAGCGGGGTCGGGGGGACCCTGAGTCAGGACCCGAGTTCTGCTGTTTCTACGGCATGTGTGTGCCCATTAGAAGAAAGGCAGACAGCAGGGAGGGACCAAGCCTACAGCCACACTTCTTGGCCAGGGCAGCACAGGCTAATTTTTAAGCCCCCGTCACCTCCCTCTTCCAAGTCAGGGGTCATTCCGGAGCGGACCTGCCCAATCTTCTGTGTTGTTCCCAGCCTAAAGTCGTGAAACTCGACCCACACCCGGAGGACTTCTCTTTCAGATCCACACTAGGGAACTTCTCCCCTACCATTTTCTTTTTTTTTTTTTTTGATTAATGTGTTAGTCTTCAAAATTCTATTTAAACTGTAAGAGTCTCAGGTTATAAAAAGTGGTGATATAATTTTTTAAACATCTATTTAGAATTTTTACAAAGGCAAATTAGAGATTCGTTGTTGTTGTGCTTGAGCGCATTCATATCTGACTCTTTGAGACCCCCCGGGACTGTAGCCTGCCAGGCTTCTCCATCCGTGGAATTTACCAGGCAAGAATGCTGCACACAGAAATGAAGACCCAGCACAGCCAAAAATAAATAAAATGTTTAAAAATTATAGTTTAACATTTTTAAAAAATGTTGGAGTATAGCTGTTTATGCCCAAGCATTGGTTAAATCCTTTTTTCCCATTCCTTTCCTATCTTCCTTTTACTATACATTTGCTACTCTGCTCAGTATCTTTGCACTTTTTAAAAATATTTTTAAATTTTTATTTGTTTATTTATTCTGTTTTTTTTTTTTTTTTCCCATTTATTTGTGGCTGTCCTGGGTCTTCACTGCTGTGCAGGCTTTTTCTAGTTGCAGCAAGCCAAGGCTACCCTCGGTTGCCATGTACAGGCTTCTCCTAGAGGTGGCTTCTCTTGTTGCAGACCTCGGGCTCTAAGCACATGGGCTTCAGTAGCATCACGCACGGGGCCTAGAACACGGCTCAGTAGTTGTGGCACACGGACTTAGTTGCCCTGAGACATGAGGGATCTTCTCAGACCAGGGATCCAAACTGTGTCCCCTGCATGGCAGGAGAATTCTTAATCAGTGGACCACCAGGGAAGTCCTGAGTATCTTTATTTTCCACTGAGGACAGTCACGCAGCATTGTCAACCCTTCCTTGAGATAAACTTGATCAACCATGTGCTGATTTCAGAGAATGTTTGGGGAATCCAAATTCTGTTCATTCAGCCTATAAAGGAAAACTGAGAAAAAGAAATCTTTCTCCACATTCTCTGAATGGTCAGTAATGACTGAAAAGTTCTGAGAGAAGGAATAAGCTAGGATGCAGGAGGCAGTAAGAATTCGGTTGTATCTGAGGTGGCAGTAGGGCTCCCTCACTTTCTCCCTCACATCCAGGAAGAAGAGAGTTATTCCTAGAAGCTGACCTAGAAGAATGAGAAAAGCTTTCCCAAAGGCCCTGAAACCTCTCATAGCATCTCATCAACCTGAATTATGTCTCATGTTCCTTCCTGAACCAATTACAATCAGGTTATGATGGTTTTGATTTACTGAAATGCATCCAGGTCTATTCATGGAACAGGAAACAAGGTCAGAATTGCCTAACTTAACAGCAGCATGGGAGAGAGATAGATAACTAATCAAACTTAACATTCTCGTAGTAAGGAGATGGAGGAGATTTGTATTGTGTGGCTGACTAACAATCACAAGGGCTTCCCTGGGGGCTCAGAGAGTAAAGAATCTGCCTGCAGTGCAGGAGACCCAGGTTCCATCCCTGGGTTGGGAAGATCCCCTGGAGAAGGGAATGGCTACCCACTGCAGTGTTCTTGCCTGGAAAACCCCATGATCAGAGGAGCCTGGCGGGCTACAATCCATGGGGTAGCAAAGAGTCGGATACAACTGAGCAACTAACACACACACTCGCACACAACACTCATGAGAGCTGTGCCCCACATGTTTCTGGCTTCCCCCCTTCCTGACACATGATGGGATTGTACTTCCTGGCTTCTGAAAGTTGGGGGTGGGGCAGGGCATGAGACTAGATGCCGAGAGTGAGCAATAAGTACAAGTGACATGTGACTGCCAGGCCAGAAAGTTTTAGCATCCACTGCAAGATTTCCAGACCTCTCTTTAGTTCTGTGTAAGAGATGAGTGAGTTCTGGAGACGGTGGCTTCGGAGGGGCCATGGCCTTGCAGTCTCTGAGGCAGCTGCAGTCAAGGACTCAGGCCCCTGGGATGGCCATTGGGAATGACACGTGGGCACTATTGATGCTCTGTACAAAGGAGATAACCAATGAAGACCTGTTGTGTATAGCACAGGGAACGACACTTAATGCACTGTGGTCACCTGAGTGGGAAGGAAATCCAAAGGGAGGGACATGGACACTTAGAGCCGATTCATTTTGCTGTACAGTAGAATCTAACACTACATTGTCAAGCAACTATACGCCAATAAAGAACAATTAAAATTTTTAATTGTTTTTCAGGACTTCCCTGGTGTTTCAATGGCTAAGACTCCATACTCCCAAGGCAGGGAGCTGGAGTTCGATCCCTGGTCAGGGAAATAGATCATGCTGCATATGAGAATTCGGACGCTGCAACCAAGACTGAAGATCCCATGGATTTCAACTAAGACTTGGAGCAGCCAAATAAATAATAAATACATTTTTAAAAAATATATATATATATTTCATAGTATTTGCATCCCTGGCCCTGGAACTGCATTCCTAGGTTTCTTTAGCTGAGGCCTTGGGCTTTGGGTGGAGGGTTTTCTCAGTCCCTCTGCTGAGGCCTCCTCCTAGGAGAAAAGGGGAAATCCAGGGACACTTTCTCCTCTAATTCAGCGCCAGGTGCTTCTAGATCCTAGCTCCCTCTCACAACCTCCTCCCCACCTCAGGGTCCAAAGAATGTTTTGTCTGGAGCTCTCTCAATGGTGGGAAGACCCCCCACTCCTGTGCTGATCCACCTGACCCTTGAGCAGTGCCTCATTACATTTGGGAAATGGAACAGGGAGTCAGGGCTTTCTTCCATTTTAGACTCTTGCTTATGCCTTCACAGTAAATCATTAGGCAATTGTCTGAAGAAGTTAGGATTGCTAAAAGAGAAAAAGACTGGGTTATTTTGGAAGAAAGTTTGATTTATTTGAACAAGAGATTTTAATGTATTTAATGTTTCATGTCAAGAAAAAATTGGATTATGCTATACCTTTTACCTGTAGCTCAGCTGGTAAAGAATCCACCTGCAATGCAGGAGACTCCAGTTCAAATCCCAGAGAAGGGAGCGGCTACCCACTCCAGTATTCTTGGGTTTCCCTGGTGGCTCAGACAGTAAAGAATCTGCCTGCAATGTGAGAGACCTGGGTTCGATGCCTGGGTCGGGAAGATCCCCTGGAGAAGGGAAAGGCTACCCACTCCTATATTCTGACCTGGAGAATCCCATGGAATCTATAGTCCATGGGGTCACAAAGAGTCGAACACGACAGAGCAACTTTCACTTCACATACCTTTTACCAGGATGCTACTTAATGAGGTTTATTTGGAACTACTGTTTCTAACATCTGCCATAGATGTAGAAGCAACACACATACCACATAGGAAAGGGTTACCAGAATATTGTTATCCCTAACACACCACATTTCCTCCTTTTTAATGTAAATTGTTTTTCACAGTTTTATTTTTCTAAACTATTGGCAAATCCCATAATCAATGTTTACTACTAATATAGTAGAATTCACCACCACCCTAAAACAACAAAAGTTATTTTAAAGTACATCTTATAATAGATGGCATCTCAGAATCAAAGAAATAAGCTAGTTTTGTAGGAATCTCTTTCTAGAGATCCCTCATTCCCTTTAGGGTATTAGGCCTATAGTTATCAGCCATCCACCAGCTTCTACTCTACGAAGGCATGAGTATCTATGAACATGAGGCAACCTTTCACTGTACTAATGTTAGCTTTTGAGCTTTAGTATCACGTACACATGGATCTGTGTCCTGCTTCTGCTGCTTGCTCACAAATTATGTGAACTTGATTAGGTTACATAAAAATCTTTGGGATGAGGTGCTTGGATGGCATCACTGACTCAATGGACATGAGTTTGAGCAAGCTCCGGGAGATAGTGAAGGACAGGGAAGCCTGGAATGCTGCAGTCCATGGAGTTGCAAGGAGTTTTCGGTCACAACTAAGCGACTGAACTGAACTGAACTAAATCTATAAACTTTCCTAATCTGTAAAATATGGGATCATAGTTGCCTAAGTAGCCTAATTTATAGATAGTCTGAAATGACACGTGTAAAACACAGTACGTGTTCAAAAAGACTGACTTAGCTTTTACACAAGTGTTAAGCTGTTTCAGGAAGTTGCATGATAGAGGAAACAATTAGATGATGAAAATGGACCATAGCATTGTGGCCAAATTTTACAGACAGAGATCTGTCTTATAGTCCATAACAAGCTGCATTATAATAGTAGAAAAGTGAAAGTTAAAGTCACTCAGTCGTGGGCCTGGTGCACTGGGAAGACCCAGAGGGATCAGGTAGAGAGGGAGGTGGGAGGGGGGGATCGGGATGGGGAATACATGTAAATCCATGGCTGATTCATGTCAATGTATGACAAAAACCACTACAATATTGTAAAGTAATTAGCCTCCAACTAATAATAATAAATGAAAAAAAAATAAAAAATTTAAAAAAAAGTCAGTCATGTCTGACTCTCTGTGACCCCATGGACTGTATCCATGGAATTCTCCAGGCCAGAATACTGGAGTGGGTAGCCTTTCCCTTCTCTAGGAGATCTTCCCAACCCAGGGGTTGAACCCAGGTCTCCCACAAATAGCCATTAAGTAGAAAGGAACCAAACAGTTATAACTGAGATGACCAAAATGAGGAGGAGATGTGAGAGATGATAGAGGGACAGTGCATTTAAGTTGTGAATTAATAAATGAGGGGGGTGAGAAGAAAAGAGATAATGAAGATGAACTTCTGAGCCTAGACAACAAGACAAGTGGAGGGTACCATTTATTAAGAGGAATGAATTCA